CTTTGAATATGCACATTAAAATTCAATGATTACTGCTAATTATACGACTTTGATCAATTGTTCTTCAATGTACTCTCAGTTTGCTGTGACTTAATGAGGAGAACGTAGTTCAAGGACTCACTTTTCCGTAGGCAACCGTTGTGGAGGCCATATCCAATAAAAATGAATCGCCATCAGCGGCCGGAGCACCCATACAAATCGGATTCGAGCCGAGCGCCTTCTCGCACGATCGAGTGGGAAAAACGCACGGTGAAGTGTTTGTAAATGCCATTCCCTATTGCAAAAATCAACTCTTCAGTAATTTTCTGATTTCTGATGACATCGAAGTTCAGATGACACAATTATACGAAGTAAGTTTCAAGAAATGATTTCGGATGAATTCCGTGAATATTAAATATCCGAAACGTAGTTGAAGTGGCCATCAAAGGCCTATTGCTAATTGCTAAGATTAGAAAAAAAAAGTATTTGCATATTTGACCTTTAGCAGACTAATTGCATCATCAAAACTTAATGAGAATGGAATACCGCGAAAAAGATCTCATCAAACCTACAATCATTCCTGCCTTCATCGCCTGCATCGCGTACCATCCAGCAATACCGAAATGGTTCGAGTTTCTCGTTACCACCCATCCGATGCCCACCTCTTTCGCCATATCAATGGCCAATTTCATGCAAAAGTTACCAACAACAGGACCCAACAAATTTGCACCGTCCACCCATGCTGTTGCGCCTTTCTTTTTCAATATCTTTGGCTCACCTACAATTTAGAAAACGATTAGTGTAAAATCTGCATCCTATAAGAAAGCGCGTTCCCTTTTTGTGCAATAGTCGTCGCATCTACTTTTACTAACGAGTAGTGATCACATCTGACCGACGACGGTCGGTCGGAAGAATCCTACAATTTCGATGGGAATTCCGATATTTAGATTCCGCTCGAACAATTTGGAAGGTCGTTCGTAATTCTGACTGTCGCAAATTCAAAATGTCAATATTCGTTCGGATTCCCACCGAACCATTCTAATAGACGGTCGAAATGATGAAAAGGTCGGTCGGATTCCCAGCCACATGAAATTTCGCTTGGATGTCATCACTACTAATGAGATGCTCTATTTTGAGATTATGTGTCTTACAAGCACCAAAAAAATCACTCCCTTACACTAGTAGAATTATTTGATGTGACAAATTTGCATATTTATATTGGCGCAAAAATTTTTTGCATATTCGCAATCAGCCATACGAGCTCTACAATATGTGGTATATATCTGGTCTCGGAACGTGGAGTAAGTTCGTGAGCATGATATGAATTGAAGTGCTATAGCACTAAAAAGTGCAATGTGGTAATCATCGAATACGGAATGTACCTTCAACAGCACACGCTCCACTAACGATGTCATTGATGTAGACATGAAGACGATTGATACCGTGTGAGTAATGTCCTCGGTAATCCGAACAAATCAGTATGTCAGCTAATTGATTGCCGTGCTCATCACCGCATCCAACTGTTTCCAAGCAATTCAGTACAAATGATCTCAGCTTAAAATAAACCACATTTCTCATTCATTCCAAAACTTCCCATCAGATTTCATGAATTTTTCGCAAACAACTGATTTCTAAAGAGTTAACTTTTGTTAAATCTTCTCATATGTGCTTGCAAAAATTCATCTAATCAATTACCTCGTAATAGCTTACCTAATACGAATTCTTTCCTGTGAAAGTCAACTTACAGCTACTACGCTATTGAATTTATCATCTGTCAATAATGAACCAACTTTCTGGTCACTGCCCGGTCAAAACGAGCAAAAATGAATGCTGGACCGAATTTAATCAGCCAAGAGTTCAGTAT